TTTTATTATTATTATTATAGACATTGTTTTGACGACCATACTTTTGTATAACAAAGATGGTTAATGAGGTAATGTTGAAAACTGTCTCCAGCATCTATTTCATATAACGGCACTTACTTGGATATGTAGACAGTCTTTATATTACTTGAGGTGCTGGCTAGTTTTGAACTGTTACTGCTTGTACAGCAGAAGTACTATGTGACATTTATAAGATGAGTTGGTTTGTAGCAGGTAAGGGGATACTTGAAAATAACTCTTAGGTTTAACCGAAGATTAAACAAATTATTCTGAACAAAGAAACTTTTAAAGTGATCTGTAAATGTATTCTAGCTGGTTTGTATCATATTTAAGTGAGTTGATAATCAGTTCAATATTTTTGAAATTCATCTTAGTAATTAATAGTGATTTCACCCTAGATAACTCTAAATAGTAATGCTAAAGAAATATATTCACAGCAGAGAGTCTTTTGAGAATATAAACCCTACCCGGCAAGCTGTGGACATGACATTGAATGTCAGGTGAGTATCCTTTTTTTCTGATTTATATTAGCTATCTTTCTTTAAAGTGTGAGACCAAAACAGGAAAGATATACCTTACAGGTTAAAAGTTCTATTTGTAGTTAAGACAGTTAAGAATAAGTTCCTATTTGTCATATATTTGTTTGACCCATCTGCAACAGATATGCTTAATCACATGTGGGCAGGCGGTACATAGGCAGGAAAAGTGCCAGGATGTACGCTTGCCCTTGATTGGACCTTGGGGGAAATACAGTGGCCTTATGGGTGTGCCTGTATAAGCCTTGGCAAAATGTGAATCATTGCCATTTCCTGGGAACTCCAAAATGATCCTGGCCAGAGAACATTACTCTGGCCAGTATTGAATTAAAATTTGCTTCAAATTTGGCTCAAAAATTGTCAAACTGGTTCTTGTCTCATGATTCTCAGGATTAACAAATCAAATATTTTGTTTCATATAATTGATATTTGTAACACTCAAAGTTAATTTTCCAAAGGTCAGCCAAATATTATTGAAATTTTTTTCTGGATACATTAAAATATAAAAAAACGAATAATTTTTTTTGAGTTTGCCCAAATAGTTTTTTTATACTTTTTTTTGTATTTATTTTACAATACTATTCAGTTCTACATAATAGCCACAGATTCCCTTGTTCTCTCCATTCCTGCCCCCCTCCCCTTCCCCCCCAGCCCACCCCCAATTCCCACCTCCTCCAGATCAAGGTCTCCCCCGAGGACTGGGATCGACCTGATAGACTCAGTCCAGGCAGGTCCAGTCCCCTCCTCCCAGATTGAGCCAAGTGTCCCTGCATAAGTCCCAGGTTTCAAATAGCTAACTCATGCAACGACCCCAGGACCTGGTACCACTGCCTAGATGCCTCCCAAACAGATCAAGCCAATCAACTGTCTCACCTATTCAGAGGGCCTTGATCCAGTTGGGGGCCCCTCAGCCTTTGGTTCATAGTTCATGTGTTTCCATTCATTTGGTTATTTGTCCCTGTGCTTTATCCAACCTTGGTTTCAACAATTCTCGCTTATATAAACCATCCTCTTTTTCACTAATTAGACTCCCAGCGCTCCACCAGGGGCCTAGCTGTGGATGTCTGCATCCAGATTCCTCAGTCCTTGGATGGGGTTTATGGCACAACTATTAGGGTGTTTGGCCATCCCATCACCAGAGTAGGTCAGTCCCGCTGTGTCTCAACCATTGCCAGTAGTCTTTTGTGGGGGTATCTTTGTGGATTTCTGTGGGCCTCTTTAGCTCTTTGTTTCTTCCTTTTCTCATGTGGTCTTCATTTACCATGGTCTCCTATTCGTTGTTCTCCCTCTCTTTTCTTGATCCAGCTAGGATCTCCCGTTCTCTTTCCCTCGACCCTCACTCTTCATTGCTCCCACTCATGTCCAGGCTATTCATGTAGATCTCATCTATTTCTCCGTGTCTTTCTTGGGGTCCCATTTTCCAGGTAGCCTCACTGGTGATGTAAGTAGCAGTCCAGTCATCCTTGTTCCACCTCTAGTATCCCCCTATGAATGAGTACATACCATATTTTTCTTTCTGAGTCTGGGTTACCTCACTCAGGATGATTTTTTCTAGATCCATCCATTTGTCTGCAAACCTCATGATGTCATTGTTTTTCTCTGCTGAGTGGTATTCCATTGTGTTTATGTGCCACAATTTATTTATCCATTCTTCAGTTGAAGGGCATCTGGGTTGTTTCCAGGTTTTGGCGATTACAAACAATGCTGATATGAACATAGCTGAGCAAGTGCTCTTGTGGTATGATTGAGCATTTCTTGGGTATATGCCCAGGAGTGGTATAGCTGGATCTTGGGGGAGATTGATTCCCAATTTTCTAAGAAAGCACCATATTGATTTCCAAAGTGGTTGTACAAGTTTGCATTCCCACCAGCAGTGGAGGAGAGTTCCCCTAGTTCCACATCCTCTCCAGCATAAAGTGTCTTCAGTGTTTTTGATCTTAGCCATTCTGACAGGCATAAGGTGGTATCTCAGAGTTGTTTTGATTTGCATTTCCCTGATGATTAGGGATGTTGAGCAATTCCTTAAATGTCTTTCAGCCATTTGAGTTTCCTCTGTTGAGAATTCTCTGTTTAGTTCTAAAGCCCATTAATTTAAATAAATCATTTAACATATTATCATTCTTATTAGCAAATTTAATGAGCATGAATTTAAAGGGCCAAGGGGAAGTTTAATCTTTGTTATGTGAGCTTTGTGATACTAACAATTTTTCATTCATAATCTGAGGGAAGATTATCAGAGAAACCCATACTTGAAGCTATATTTCAAGTAGCTATATTTGGTTAGCCTATACTTGATGCTAACCAAAGTGTGTGTGTGTATTTCTGTGTGTTTGTGTGTGTGAGGGAGCAGGGAGGAATGAGGGAGGAAAAGGGAGGGAGAGAGGAAGAAATATATTCCCACTTTCAACCTTTTTGTTTTTCTGTATATTTGGTGAACTATCTGGATGCTTTAATGCATGAAATTTATTTTAATTTTTGGTATATAAATCTTAAGGTAGAGATGATAGAATAAATAACCTATGAACTCTAATATGTATGAAATATAATTGTAAAGTGTTTGTTAGGAAACACATTTCTTTCTCTAGAAATAAGAATTGAATATTTTTGACAAAATTATAGTTAATTAACATGTAACTACTTTGGTAATACCAAATCAAAAAACAATCTAAACATCCAAAGTGCTCTAAGGAATTCTTTCTGAAAAGGAAGCCTTTGATGACGCTCACCTTGTGACTCTCCCTGTCCTTTGTGCCTTGTGCCACCAAAGCCTGGCATAGCTATTACCACCCCCACACGCCATGTATGATGGAGCCGAACCTATGACCCCTGCCTGGCATTGGCAACTCCAAGAGGAGAGGTCTTCTCTGTCCTCAGCTTACTGCCAAGTACCCTGTTGCTAGGACATGTTTCCCCTCTCCATAAGTCCCTTAGGGTTAACTGAGTGAAAAGCCACAGAAGGCTGTAAGACTGTTTCTGTGGCTTTTTTTAAATCATCACTGATGAAGCAGGTCAGTTAAATATTTTCATTTCCTATTCCTTTCCTGGCCCGTCTCTGATAAAGAACTGGACTTGACTGGGCAAATTTCAGTTACCTTAGCACTGGCTGTTCTCGTCATCAACGTGCCTGAATATTTCCACTAGAAAGTGGCCATCCATGGCCTGTGACTTGTCCTCATAAGTAAAATAAGGAAGGATGGAGTTTGTTTCCTCTTAGAAACCTAAAATGTATAATGAAAATCACCTGTATTGCTATACATGGAGTACAGCATCAAGCCTCATTTGGGAAAAACCTTTTTCTCGTTTGAAGTCGAGACATTACCAAGATGCAAGTTCCTTTCTGGGACTGTACATTCCAGGCGTTTGGAGGGTTTTTTACAAACAGTCATTTACCCTTGGGTCACACAGCTGGCTTAATTGACAGCTGCACCAAGCTTCTCAGGGATGCTTGCTGAAGCTATAAAATGAAAGTGGGGACCTAAGTGGAGTTCTGTCTCGCCCCAGGTCTGAATCACTCTTAATTCAAGTCCTCTTAGTTACCTCGGGCCTTAATTAAGACTATTTTAAAAATCAAATAAAGCAAAACACCAAAATTACTAACCAACTTAACATTTAACAAAATGCAAATAAAAATTCAGAGCAAAGCAAAAATAAACAAAATGAAATCCCAAAGCCTTCCACAGTCCTTTATTAAATTCAAATGGGATATGTTCTATTTCTACGCAAACATGACTTTTTTAGCCTATAAGTCTCCTTAATAATGAATCTGTATATCCTTAAGGATTTTTAATCCAACCCCTAGATCATAAGTGCTAGAGGCCAGGCAGAGAGAACATATTTTTCTAATGCCATTAATCGAGTTATTCCACCCATTAGGCACCTGTCTATCCAATAGGGAAAGCATTTGGGTTGAACTTTTGCTACCACAAATATTTTTCAATATTCAGGCTCATTCGAGAATAATTAATCACGGCTCCCTTGATACCTACAGAAAAGTAAAATTAGTCCTCCAGGGCTGTTCCCAGAAACAGTACAGGATACTAAACACTGAGGTAAACAACATTAAAAACAATAATACCCCCAAACAAATACCATCACTTAGCAAATAAAGAATAGGTACTAGATAGATTACCCAGCAGTAAAGATCACTTGTTGCTCTCACAGAGTGTCTCACTTCTGATCCCAGCACCTACATGGTGGCTCACAGCCATTTATAACTTTAGTTCCAGAGGATAAAACGCCGTCTTCTGAGGCAGCAGACGTGCATATGTTGCACATATGTACACAGAGGCAAAAAAAAATTCATGTATGTAAAATAATAAATCTAAAACAATTGTTTTAAAAAGGAAAAAATGGATTCAGCATACTATTCTATAGTCATATATCAGTGGAAGTGTTAAGGCAACTCCACGTAGTTAAAAGGGAGGTTTATTTTGTGGGGTAACTTACAAGTAAACAGATAGGTTACAGGGTCCCGGAGAGGCAAAGTGCAGTCCAGAGGTGTTCTCTGAAGAACTCTGCTCTGTCTACATGCAGCATCCAGGATCCAGGAACCAAGGCAGCCGGCACATTCGGATCTCCGGTCTTAAGGGTTCCTCTCTCAGCCCCGCCTCGTGGGCGTGACAGTTACCGGAAGCCTCAACGTGGGTAGTACTTCTAGGTCAAAGCTGGAAGAGCTACCCACTACAGTCATATATACTATATTCCAGAGACTCTCCTGTGATAGTACTATCATTGGTTTGGACTCTGGAATCCAAATGTTACAAGTTTGAATCAAACAAGACAAATGAGAGGGTAACCATGACAGGTAGTGGCCGAGGGAAGCATATGGTGTCAATAACTTGCCAAGCTGCCACTGATCAACCATGTTGGCACTCGAGGTTACACAGTAACTCTCAAATCAGAAATCCTGACCTGCAAGCTAGTGCTACAACTCCATCCTCAGCTGCAGTTGTTTTGACAAGCAAATTAACATCCTATTATCCACTTAAACAAATCTGGCCCCTCAATTAAGAACTACCTGAAGTAAATGGGGTATCATCATCCACAGGAAATAACCTCAAACTTTTGTTAGGTCTAAAATTGGAGTAGCCTCAACTGACTTCTTTTGTGCTAGTAGGATCTGGTGCTGTGGTTCATTATGATGCTAAAGCTTTTGAGGTGGAGATCTGATTTCCTGGTTCCATCTTGCTCCTGTAGTAAGCTCAGAAGCATCTACTTGAGAAGGACATCCCCAGCCCTCATTGCAGATGGTGCTGTCCCAGTGCCAAAGCTTACCTTGCCTAACCAGAAATTGTTGCTATACTCTAAGACCTTGGACCTTACTGTGCATCAGAGATAACTTTCTCAGGGACACTGAGACCACCACCCCAGTAATCACATATGGCTCCTCTCCTCAGACTCTAAGAAAGTGGATATGGAGCAATGGTGACCTTTACTCTGCTGGATATTAATACCTTGACTGGGCTTGCTATTTGCCTAACTCATGAGGTGGGTGTAATTCACTCCATGAAAATTATAACCTTACTATTCTAAAAATAGCAAAAGCCATTGCTTCCCCAAGAAGCAAGTGCCTTGTGTATTTCACACCTTTGGCTTTCTGAGAAGTGATGTCTTTGTCTTCAGTTCCTTTCCTCTTTCTCACCCTCAGGTTTCACCCATGATGTCCCTATAGAAATCTCTAACCATGACCACAAGAGCCACCTTCTGCTTTTGGCTATATGGATTGATATATATCCTTGTTAGTATATATACACTAACAAGTGCCTTTCTAAGCTATTAGGTCAAGTCCCCAGAAAAGTACCTGCTAGATCCGTCACTTTGGTCTCAAGGATACACTCATACATTCTTGTCCTAAAAAGAAAAGCCATAATTCACACTGAGCCCATTTCACATCTCTACTCTTGGTTTTGATTCCTGCCCAAACGACCACAGTGGGGGTTAATCAAGGCTAAGCAAAAAGTTAACCAAAAACAAAGCAAAATGTAAGGAAAAAGTCATATGAAAGTTGTTGTGTTTTTTCATTGAGTCTCTGAAGATAAAGGCTCAGGACAATCTCAAGCTACATTTTATAAAGAGGGACGTTTTGACATTTAAGGAGTTCAACTAACACATATTTATTCTCCTGATAGTCAATTGTAGCTGGAGATGCTTAGAAATAGGAGGTGTGGAGGATGGTGTAGAAATCTTCAGCCTTAAACCAAACCAAATGCTCCAGAAATCTGTGTGCTGCAGATTATTGGACTGCCTCTGGAATCAGTTTTTAAGTACCTTGATACCAAATATTCCCAGCCTCCCTATCCCTCAGTTTCCCCAGGGAATTCAGATGATTTATTTATAGGGCAAAGTTCAGATAGTGTAGGAAGCTATATAAAACCTTATCATCATGCTGAAAAACCTTCCCCATAATGCTTAAGAAATTCTTATTTTCCAGTAAGGAAACATTAATGGAATAAGGAAACTAATAAATCACAAAGGCACAGAGTCTCTGAAGATTTCAAAAACTAAAATTTGAAGTAACTGAAAAACAGAAGAGAAAAGAGAAGATAGAGCATGGAGAACAGAGAAGATGGAGCATGGAGAATAGGGTCACTTGGGATAAGCAAAGATTGCATATGCACACGCGTTCTATACTCCTGAGAGATCTGGCACATATCCACAGCCAATTAGTTCTCATCAAAATGATTTCAATAGGCATGTGTCCAGCAAGGAATTTTATTCCTAAATTGTTTTCCCATTCCACTTCACTGGCCACAATGCCCCATAAAAGATTTTCTCACTACCTTCTTCATAAAATAATAATTTAGGCAAAACCTTCCTTCTGGAATGAACAGTTTTTTACAAGGATACTTGTATGGCATCCTAGCAAGTCCCGGGGCTAACCTGGAATAGTTATGTACAGCACTGATGGGGTTTTATTGTAAATTAGTTCTGGAGAAAAATCCATGTGTAATGTATTAGAAGAAGTCAGATGAAAAACAGGTATTTTCTAGTGTCTAAATATTAACAGTGCATGTGACAGGAATACAAAGGGAGTATATGGTTATGCCTAGAGGATAGTCTTTTGTCCTCTTGTCTTCTAATGAATGAATAATGGGAGTGAAAGATTTAAGAGTGTAAGACACAGAGATAGTAAGATTTAATTTATTTATATTTCTGTGTACGTGTATTTGCCTGCGTGTGTATGTCCACACATATGAATTTTGTTATTCATGTCACAAAGGAAACATTTGTCAATGAGATGGCACAGGAGCAAAAGCCTTTAGTGAAGAGGTTGCATTGATATTGAGAAGATATTGAATTAGGTAGAGTGACTATAGATTTGTGAAGGAATAACAGAAACTATAATTTTCATATACTTCAAATATAAGGGAAAATCATATTTTAAAATGCTCATATTAACAGTCAGTGTGTTAAACATTTTTAAATTGTATTCTCTTCCTATGTATCATGTTCACACAATTCTCTGTGAAAATAATTGCTGCCTGAGATTTTTATGTGCTAGTGTATAATGTGGAGAAGTAAGACGTTAAAAATCTCAAAGATTTGAAAGCAAATGCATATAGCACTGAGTACCAGTGGACACTCCACAGTGTTGTGTGTATCCCTGGGTACCACAGAGCACTCCACAGTGCTGTGTGTATCCCTGGGTACCACTGAGCACTCCACAATGCTGTGTGTATCCCTGGGTACCACAGAGCACTCCACAGTGCTGTGTGCAGCCCTGGGTACCACAGAGCACTCCACAGTGCTGTGTGTAATCCTGAGTAGCACTGGGCACTCCACAGTGCTGTGTGTAGCCCTGGGTACCACTGGGCACTCCACAGTGCTGTGTGTAACTCTGGGTACCACTAGGTGCTCATATGTAGTACTAGACGTGGTGCTATATGCAGTGTTGTATGTAGCCCATTTTGTAAATTACCATATTTGTTTCTGTAATAGAAAGTCTGGCAAAATTAACTGAAGATAGGAAAGGTTTATGGTGGCCAGTAATTCAAAGTTAAGTCCAAGGTTGTGGGGAATGCCTGGCGGCAAACGTTAGAAGCTCTTGGTCACATTGCATCCACAGTCAGGATGACCAGAGGGCCCCACACTCCTGTTTCAACTCTCTCTCTCTCTCTTTTTTTTTTTAGTTCATACCTCCAGTACACAGGAGGGTGGCATCACCAGTTGAGATGGGTATCAGCATCTCCATTAACCTAGTGTAGATGATGCCTCATAGGCGTATCTAGAGTTTGTCTGCATCCTGCCAATATTTGCTTATAATCATAGTGTCGCCTTACAAACAGCACAAAACCAAGAAGAGATAGATTTGTTCTTAAGGAATAATGCAGACTTAATCACATCAATTCTTTACTTAAAAACAATTTGATTTTTTTTATTTATTATAAATGATATTAACATGTTGGTTAGCACTGGAGGTGGAATCCAGGGCCATGTTCAGGAGATGTAGACAGTCTGACTCAAGGTTTGGCTAGAAAGTGGCCTTGCTGAATGCAGTAGAAGTGTGCTAGGCTTTCTCTCCAGAACGTCAACTTCAGGAATCATTTATGTTTTCCTTAGTTCAGAATTTATCTCTCCATATTTTCTTTCCCTTTCATACGGTCTTCTTAACCTTATTAAACCACATCCATATTCTCCAGTCTTCCTATCAGTATGCAGATTTAGCAGAGTAGTTACTACTGATTGTTCCAATCTCAAGCTAGTGCTCACACATTTTTTTCTAGAAAGCCCTGCCTTCTTTTCATCCCATCACTTTCTTTGACTCTTAATTTTGCATCATTGACTTTAATCTATTGTAATGATAGCCTTAGTTGGCTTTTACTTGCTTCTCTGTGAACATGCTCTTTGAGACTTTCCATTGTTACTTTTTTATAACATGACCACAAATGCCTGGGACATAACAGATGGCCAATAAAGCCTTGCTAATTGAATACTTTTCCTTATACGTGCACTCTAATGCTTTTAATTTTGAAATGACAGCTCAAAGGGAAAAAGGCATAGCTGTCATTTTTAGTAGTTTATATACAGATGGATAAATGCCAATAAGGGATAGGTGTTATGCTTAGAGGAGTGTTTAATATCCATCACAGTATAAGCAAAATATGACAGCAATTTAAGTAATAAATGGTATGTAAAAATTTAATCTTCTGATACCAGCAAATGAATCGCCAAATATTTTTCTTAGTGTCTGGGATAGCACTGAAGTTATTTATGGTTTTGCTATACTGTGATTTAAGGTGTAACTAGTTTTTATGCATCTAGGAAACAAAGACATATTAACTGTTGCCTTAGGGCCTGCCATTTGCAAAAGACCTTTCCATAATCCTGAAACCTAATTTCCTACTCTTAATTTGATTTGTGTTTTATTGTTAGATTTGAATTCCTATTTTTTGAAAAAAATATGTATAAGCTTAGGCTCAGTAAAACTGAAATCACTCCTACAAAGAAATATTATAGTTCTGTGATGAACCTTTTTGTTCTTCAGTTTGTCAATTTTAGGTGTGAGTCTGTTCTTCAGGAGGCCTGTGATATTGTTTAGTCACTGTATTTGTAGCAAGTGTCCATATGACTCCATGATTTTACTCTAC